ATAGCACTAGTAAAAAGATTTTTAGTTAACATATCCTGATAAAGTTCTCCATTCATATTTTCAGTAAAACAATGAAACCTCACAAGTCTATTTGCATAAAAAGCACCTATGCGTGAACTTTGAGTGGATGTTTTACAACTACACACTGTGGATTTTCTTCTCCAATCTTGTATCTTACTAGTATTATATTACGAAATAACTGAAATGTGGTTTCGTCAGAAAAAATGTCTTTTTTTCAGTTTTCATTCAGATGAGACTTTGCCTATTCAAGTTTGCATTCTTTGACAATGCCAATCAACATTGGTATTAAAGTTAATAAATAAACATGATAACCTAGTTTAAAAAGATTCTCTCAGACAGTTTTAGAAGCAATGTTGAGATTTGGGTATGTTTGGTTAAGTGTAAAAGCAATTTCTTTATTAGTTGCACATTTTCTTGTGCTGGTTAATTTTCTAAGATGAATGCGTTTTTTTGGAAACAAAAGTTTTGGTCTTTCTGAATGTGATTTTAATTTAATAGTACTGGATTTTTTAAGTTTTGGGACATAAGTATATAGGGAGGATTTTAAAATATGAGTTATTTCATGTAATTTATTAACATTATGAATTCCATTTGTCCACAAACTGCTTACAAGTGATTGTTTTTCGTTTAAAGTTAATTTTTTCAGCATAATGAAAAAAAAAATGGATAAAAAAATTTTTTTGCCGATCTTATGACTTTTTTTTTATTTATATTGTAGATCACGTGTTAGTTTAATAATTACATAAAAAAACAAAATCTTAATTATTAAAAAGGAAGTGATGAGCAATATTGATCAAATCACGTGATATTCCAGTTATTTTCAACTTCCCCAGTGTAATCACCAAAAAATCACTGACACGTGATTAATTTTGCCAATCATGTCTAAAAATGGTTAGATTAATTTTAACGAAAATTTTATTTTTTTAAGTAAAATTTAATACAGAATTTTTTCAGCTTTTAAAATTATACCATTTATAGGAATTCGTACCTGCTCTACAAGTTTACTCAGAGATAAAAAGGAGATTTTAAATGCCATTTTTGACTTATATATGTAATTTTGTAAAAGTTAACTCTACTTAAAAAATGGTATTTAAAATCCTCATTTTCTCTCTAAGTAACTTGTAGAGAAAGCAAAAATACGTATAGGATTCAATTTAGGAATTCATATAGTAGGGTTTCTAAGTTTTATTTAAAAAATAAAATTAATTTTTTTTTTCGATAAAATTGATCATTTATTTTTGGAAATGATCGGCGAAAATTGATCACGTGCCGGTGATTTTTTGGTGGTTACGTTGGGGAAATCGTTATTTTCCGCTACTACTGTAATTATATCATTAGATAATCTTAAAAGATGTGATTGTAAAAAAGGCTAATTATATATAATAAACTTTAACTTAACATTATAAATACTTTATATATAAAAAAAAATTTATTTTATATATTAAATATTTAAATTTAATATTAATTTATAAAAAAAAAAACTCTTTATATAATTTCTTTCTTTTAATATAATAAATATAATATATAAAATTTACTAAAATTTAAAATATGTAGATAAGAATGTAAAGAATCTGATAAGATTTAATACAATTAGTATATTAGTAAAATGTTATTTTATTTTACTATTCCATCAAATCACGTGATTATAATCAATTCCATCTGCGACAATCAAGTGACATTATTTTCATATTTTAGCCAATCAGCTTTCGAGTAAAGATTGCAAAGACAACTGGAACACTATCATTTATTATCTAGAATACATTCATTATAATTTTAAAATATTTTAATGTTCATATATTTCCGATAAATCACATAAAGAACGAATAAGACAAACACTATCTCATGTATATACTTTTCTCATTCCTTGTTCCTATACCTTTATTTTACGTCACTTTTTATCACAACACAGGTAATTCAAGACCATCGTCAACGTATTTACTAGCCAAGTCCCAATAATGTTCGGCTTTATGTTTTTTCAAATAATCCTTGGCTGTTTTTTCTGTTGGACAAGTTTTGAACCAAAATCCCTTAAACCCACGATCCTTAACTTCTCCTTGCCAAATTAATACACATTTGTTTTCTTTCGGAGGTTCCATCATTTGCTCATCTTCACCTTGCTCATTGCCTCCTCCACTAACGCCAGTTCCGCTGCCATCTCCTAATCTTGTAGTATCAGACCAATCAATACGCCTTAACATCAATCTTTTATAATATTTAATTCCCTTTGGCCCTCCTTCAACCATTATTACACTAAAGTTGGGATTAATAATAACTGTTCCTGTAAGACCAAGTTGTTGCGCATTCGTATCAACTTTAAATTTCATTTTAGGATGTGAAAGATCGTTCACTCTAAATAAAATACGATAGTTTATATTAGTACTTATATATACATCTGTATGAGATTTTTGATAAATTAACAGCAGCTTACTTGAAAACGCAAACTACCGTGCCTTTCTTGGCATCTTCTTCCAATTTTTTTTGTCTCTTTTCTTTCCTCTGTTCTTCAGTCAATTTGCGTTCTTCATTAGTCTTCAAATGAGTTTCTTGCCGCTTTTGCATTTCCTTACGAACTTGAGCTTCAGCTTTTGTTGGGTCCTGAATAGCTTCATTCGTAAGAACTCTCATCAAATTACTCATTTTTACTAGGAAAAAAAGGAAAAGGAAAAAAATGAATTAATTAATCAAATCGAAAGGTTACAAGAACTTATGAATAAAATGTATATATTATACCTTTAGGTTGATCTGGTGGTAATAAGCCCAAACGAATCTTGTCTTGCTTCTCTTTTTGTAATTCCAGACGACGTTGTTTACGCAACTTCTTTTGTTCCTGTTTACGATTTTTTTTTATATTGGTAAGAAATATTTGATCAGTTCAATATATACATATATTTATTCATTTGAATGATAATTTACCTTCTTTGTCAACATTAAAGGTTTTGGTGGTGGCGGACCTTTATCTCCTGGAGGTTCAATTGGAATCGGATGCTGAACAAACCAAGAAATGAGAGAATCTTCGTCGTCAATTTTGACCAAACCAGCATCAATATCATTATAAGTTTTATTCGGTAATAGATGAGCATCCCACCATTCTAAAGCAGGTGGGGGTTCTTTCTATATTAAAGAAAAGAAAAAAATAATCATTAAAATGCGATTTGACGATTAAAGGTGATAACTTGCTTGAAATAGTTCCATTTAAAGGTAAAAGGTGGTTTTCCGGGATTTATGATATCATTTATTATAGATTTACCTTGATTGCCTTATCAGATGAATCCAATTCTGCTTCCATACCAGCCTTTTTCACACTTTGAGCAATTTCCTCTTTCAATTTTTCCAACTTAGCCTATAATAAAAAATAAAATGTAAGTTAACTTTCGAGAAAAAAATCATCATCATCTTGGATTATACTTTAACATACTTGAGCTCGCATTTGTGTTCCCATGGATTCATATTTTCCTCTTTGAATAAATTTAAATTTTTTACGACCACGACGTTGGGGAGCGACGAAACCAGCTCTCGGATCAAAATAAGGATTTTGAGACATATCATTTAATTCTTCAGATGGAGTTGATAGTACTTTGGTTTCTTGTTTTAAAGTAGCAGGTGAGGCCCTTTGATTCGCCTATTGGAAGTTTTTTTTTTTTTTTTGTTTTTTTTTATTTATTGACAAATTTATTTCAATCATTATGTTTTTCTAATATAAAAAGAAAATTTTTTTTTCTTTGAAGGTGTGCATTTGAAAAGAAATTCAAAAACGATATATTTTAAACATAAATCTCACCTTCACAGTAGCAAAATTTGGCTTTGGAATTAATGCTGCAACTCTCTTTAAATCTAATTTGCCACTTTGATCTAATAATAGCGCGGGATGTGCCTCTACTTTTAAACCTCCTTTTGCTTTTGATGAATCATCGGCCGCCTTTGCTAAAGAACTAGTTGAAGGCTAATAAAAAACAATATATATATAATAACGTTTTGTGAAAAAAAAAAAAGAAAGAAAGTAAAAGACTACATACCAGATAAGGATTTGCTTTTGCTAAATTAACTTTAACTCTTTCCTTTGCTTCTAGAATTTTACGTTGAAGGTCAGGATCAATTCCTGAAGACATAAAATTATTTTGTGATGAATTCGAAGCTGAGGTAGTAATACTAGTGGATGTACTACTAGGTAAAACTGCTGAATTAACGGATATTGATGGTGGTCTAGGTTGAGATGGTCTCAACGAAGCAGCCATAGCTTCTAGTTGTGCTTTCTTTTGAGCAATCATGGCTTTGATCTATTTCAGGAAACGAGTTTGAGTTAATTAAATGAAGAAATGAATTTCAAGTAAGGAATTGGAAATACCTGATCGGGACGAGGTGCCGCATTTTGTAAAGAAGAATCGGAAGGGGTCGGACGATAGCTGGGAACTCCCTATTAAAAAATATATAAGGACAGTAATTAAAAATACTTCAGAAAAGTTACAAGTAGTTGGGGTAAAAAAAAAATACACCCACAGTTCCAGAGCTATACGGTCAACAAACGAAATAAAGCAAATGATAAAAATTAGTTCAGGAATTTAACCAAGTAACTAAGGGAATCGTGTCTCAATTTTTTTTTTTTACCTTCTAATTTTTTTATTCTCGGGCTCCTGAGAAGATGGTTCATCGTCGTCTCCAAATACATTTGCGGGACGTGTACGTTTACGCTCCATCTTTTTGAAATCAACTTTCGAAAAAAAGTTGGACTAAAAACATCAAAATTTCAAATCGTGTATTATTTTTATATATGATTGTCGATGACGTCATTTCGTAAACTAGACATTTTTGGAATAAAAAATTTAAGAATTTTTATTACAAAAGCAACTTTTTAATCCTGATTTCGAAACATTATTATTATTTTAAGTGGCAACTAGTTAACTATCTAGGAAAAAGCTAAAAAAATAAATATACTGAACTATTCAATAATGTAACTAACTAATAAATAAATAATAAAACGTTCTCTAATTATTAAATAACAAGTTATTATAAACCCAGCTACCAGTCTCCTTATATTTATCATCTACTTGATATTTACTATTAATTAATTCGTTAAGACTTAAAAATACTTGATCAGTTTCTATCCAGTTGAAGTATTGAAGAGAAGTGTTTTCTCCACGTTTAACTTTATCGCGTTGACGCTGTTCAATCTCACCCTAGAAAGAAATGAAGAAAGATTATATAAAAAGAATGATCCAAAAAAAAAAAGAGACGAAAATAAAATTAAAAAGAATAAAAGATAATCATACTTTTAACCTGGAAGCCGTAGCAAAATCCCCCTCGTTAATAGCTTTTGCAACATGTTTCCATAACTTTCTACTTTCCAAAGGATTTTGATCATCTTCTGATGCAATTATAGGATTTGCCCTTTTAGTACCTTCTATATCTAAGAAAATTGTCTTTTCTTGAGTTAAATGATTTTCTAAAGTAGATTTCCCTGACCAATTACCAAAAGCGGTATAAAGTGGTTCCTTTGAACCGTTCTTTCGTATCACTCCATTAAAAGTATGTTTTTCTCCTGAAAGCCATCCCTTTCCGCTAAATTCAATGACTATATTAAAATTCTTGGATTGAATCACGCTATGCCCACTAAAGAAATAAAAAAAAAAAAGGTTAAATTTTTTTGCAAAGAATAAAATGATCCTTTTTAAAAACAAACCTCAATTCTACATAAGGAGCTCCTTTCCATAATCCAAGAATTTGTAAAGATGGCAAAGTGATCAAATATTTTTCTGGATGATCTCGTAAATGAATTATTATATGACCAACTTGTGTGACATCAATTCGAGCTGCAGTTGCTCTGAATTGACTTTTTTGCCCGGCTGGATTGGAAGTAAGAATGATTAGATAGGCAAAAACGATTTTTCCATCGGGAAAGTTCAAAAAAAAAAAAAAAAATAAAATAAAATAAAATAAAAAGATATACGCACTGTGTCCAATAGCAGAAACACCCGCCTTTTTATTTTCAAGATAAACCGCTGAGATCGGTGGATGATGACTCACTTGTTCGGAAAATAATATGGTCTCACCACATCCATATCTATCATCCCACCTTGCTAAGAATTGTTCACCTATAATCGAAAGGAATAAAAAGATTTGAAACTCTTTCGATTGAATAAATGATTGCAAAAGATTAAATAAAACTTTACCGAGGATAGGATTGAACGGCTTTTTTTCAATTTTATCTTTATCTTTTCTTGATGCAAATGAACCATATAAAGTACTTATGAACCATTTTAACACGGCAACAGCTCTTTCGACTTCTTTGGTTGGTTCAGAAATAGCGGCAAAATACTCTGGATAGTCTGCCCAATATTGCCTGTTCGTTAAATAGAAGTTAAAAATCAATTCCTAGCCTAAGATAAAAAGAAACAAAATTTTTATTCACCCGTATTCAAGTGTTGAAGTGCCTGATAAAAGAAAACTAGGACACGTTAGACTATATATGTCGCCGGTAAAAGTAGAAAGGGTTTTTAAAAAACCACTAAATTCGGATTTTTTAGATTCTGGAACTTGAATGTCGACATCGTTATTTGTTCCGTCACTACTCATGTTTTTTGAAAATCTCATGAAAAGTAACTTTTCGATGTACTTGAAAAAATGCCGGGTTTTTATACAAAAGTAAAAATTAGCGACGAGTTCACTATTGGTCGAAAGACGCCCAATGATGTCATAAGATAACTAAATTTGATACTCAAAACTATAAATATACAAATCACAAATTCTGCGTAACAGAATTTTCATCTTTCAAAACGAGTAAATTTACATCGTGGTAAATTTTACAAAAGGCAACCGAGTATGAATTATCTGGTCCGATTTTTAAAATAGAACAAATAGAATCATTCAAAATAAAGAAATGTCGTGCAGTATTTCCAACGAGAATGCACTAATTAAGGTATCTGCAACTTTATGTAGGGTTATACCTTCTAAACTCGAACGATATGATAAAACAAAATCCTTTTTTTCTTTTTTTGAATTTAAAAGTAAAAAATAATCTGCAGCGTGACGTAATTTTACGTATAAAATTATGCACAACGATGGAATAACTCTTGAATTTATTTATGACTTCCGAAAATTGAGATAAATTTTCTTGACAAGGAAACGGTTTTCGGAAACCATTGTTAAGTCCGGAGCACAAGTGTAACGAAAAGGACCAATCACTTATCGACTCAAATTTCGAGCGGGGGAAATCGGACACCTTCGCTACGCTCCGGACTAATTATTTAGTCGTAGTTGGAACTTTTATTGCAAATAGAACAAGATAATTTTATTAATGCAGTGGCATTCCCCAAAGTCTTCCCAACCATCAGGTTTTTTTTTTGTTTTTCGCTTTTGATAAATACGCCCAACAAATATGTATTAGCTTTGAATTGAAATTGGCTAACTAGAAATCAATAAATTTATGTTTTCCCAAAATGCAAAGTTATGTAATACACCTTACTAAAATAAATAAATATTTATTTATTTTACTTTGAATCTGGGCTACTAATACAACTAATAGTCCTTTCAGGCTAACTAAACGATCATAAATTCTCTACTTATTCACGAAATGCCATGTTCAAATAATAATAATAATGCAAAGAATGATTCTTTTCTAAACAAAAATGAGTTGACAAATTTTCATAGTGTATGAGACGATTTTATTAAATTTATTACATGTATAAAATTATAAAATTAATTTTTTAAAAAATAATAATACAAAAAAAAAAAAAAAAAAAGGTATAAAAAAAAAAAAGAAATAAATTTCTTTTAAAATAATTTTGAAATGACTGAATTATTTTTATTTAATTTTTTTTTTTTTTTTACTCTTCCTTCTCTACCTTTTCAATTTTGGCAACTCTCAACATTGCTGTCATGGTTCTAGCAGCTTTAGTATGCATGTTTAGACCACCATAAAATGCTTTGGTAGAGTCTTTACCATAATAATTCTTTAAAACTTTTGCACCACCGGGATGCGCTTCTTTAAATGATGAAACATCCAACACAAATTCGTCAACTAATAACCATTCCTTTCCTTCACTTTCTTGCCTTTGTTTGTATTCCTCATAAGTAATGACGGGCAACAAGGATGAATCAACACCCCAATCGCATTTTTGTCGTTTTTCTTGGGCCCTATATAATTCCATATTGGCAATTGCTTTTTGAACTTCATTGTCAGGAACACGAGTTACACTTGGAACTTGATTTGTGAAGGTGTGTAAAAGGAAGATGATCCATTTTGAGGGATCCCAATCGAATAAACGGTACCCATTTCTGAAATCTTTGGGAAATTCATGATGCTGCGTAATGAAAAAAAAAAAAAAGTATTATTAGAATGATTTAGGTCGTGATGAAATTTCAAGTGAAGTCACTTGTGTACATTACAAAACTTACGAAGTTATGATAACCTTCACCGTTGGTCATTATGGCAAGTAATAAATTTCCACGAGCCGAAATTTCAGTTGAATAAATTTGGTCACCAGCCCAATGCGCGAAGCTATTAATACAAAATGTTGAGTGCCAAATAACAACACGACTTAGTATGCCACCGTACAGAAATCCACCGAGAGCATCACCCCAAAGAGCACCGATCAAAGTTGGAAGTGCAAATCCACTGACTAACGCTAAAGGAACGTAATGTTTATGTTGAAATCTCACTACGGGGTCAGCATTGAGGTCTGAGGCGTCAATCAATTTCATTTTTGGATAATGGGGTTTCTTAAAGATCCAGCCCATGTGGGAAAACCAAAATCCTTCAGCTGCTGAATAGGGATCGTCTTTTGTGTCCGTCCATCTATATTTAATATATGGTAAACGAGGAAAGTATTTAATAAAAAAAAAGGATTTGGTGATTTGCGCGGTTTACTGCGCTTCAAGGAAATGGGAACCTTACCTATGATGTATTCTATGACGAAGAACCCACCATTTAATGGAACCTTGGAATCCGAGTGTACCCAAGAAGGCTAAGACAACACGTAAAGGAGCCTTGGCCTCGTATGCTCGATGACTCCATAATCGATGATATCCAACGGTGATTCTATGTTAAAGGTGAAACCGAAGAGTTGGTCAATTACAAACAGATCAAAGAAAGAAAAAAAATATATATATATTTTTTTTTATCACAACTTACCCGAACATTGCCAATTGACATATAAAGAACGTCATAACCCCCGTATTAAAGGAGGGAGTATATAATAACAGTGATAAGGCTGTAATTATGTGAACGACGATAACAAAGGCTCCATTTATCCACCAAGCTGGTTCTTTATCTGGTTTTGCTTGTTTTTTATTAATGTATTTTTGTTTTTGTATGTCATCGAAGCCGGCTTCGTTCATTTTGGTTTTCATTTCTGACGCGGCAGTCATGATTTAAATTATTTAAAACAAAAAGAGAGAAAAAAAAAATAATTTAAAAATATTCGATGAGGGAAAAGGGATTGATTTTTGAAAGTTTATTCTTCAGACATACCTTTTTATAAAGCGGGATTTGCTGCGTGATCCTTCCAACAAGGATCACGTCAAATCTGATTGACTATACAAACGCATTGATATTAAATTTACTAAATCAACATGTAAAATACCCCCCAAAACCCCAGTAAGCTAATAAATTTGGAAACATATCGGCCTACATGTGAAATAAAAATCATAAGTATCACTTAAATTATCATCCGAGAACGTTTACAATTAAGGAAATAAAAGAATTAATTGACATATGATGGGTTGTTACTTGATTTCCACATGGTATATTTGATGTTTTTAGGATCCACCATTTTCATATGAAAAATGATGGTAACTAATTTACTACGACTCTTGATATCCAGGTGCATTATGTAATGGGTCGATCCAGATCACCCGGATTTATTTAAAAATAATTCTCAAATGTTTTTCACAATAATTTGGGAATTTTCATATTATGTCCAAGATTAAAATAAAATAGTATTAGGATTAGTTTAAGGAGTAAAATTTTTTATTTATAAAAATTTCAAGAAAATTTTTCGAATAATTCTTATTTATATGAAATTAACCTAAGTTAGGCTAACAATTTAAACTTGGTGTCAGCTGTTAAAAATCTTAAATATATAACAAATCGAACGATAAAATCATCTTTTTTATATCTTGGGGAGAGCTGCCTTTTATGATTTCATGATCACCTCGTAATTAAATGTCATTCAATAATGATCTCGATTTATTAAGATTTTCAAAAAGGATTTTTTTCAAAGGTCCCATGTTTTATTGGATAATCGGTATTCACGTGTTTTGACATGAAAATGTTATTTATATATAATTTTTTTTTTTTTTTTTTTTTTTTAAACCAGGTAAAGATTATTACTGGCGCAAAAAAAATTTTTACTTTCGAATCATCATCATGAATCATACAAATAATAAAACATCGCCACATTCTGAACCTGATGAATATGAACAAAGAATACTTAAAACTGGATGTGCTAAAGAGAATGAAGAATTACAATTATGTTTTGCTGAAAAAAAAGATTGGAGGATATGTCAGAAAGAATTAAATAAATTTAGAGATTGTTGGAAAATTTATCAAGATAAAAAAAATAATAAAAAATTACAAGAAACCTAGTAAGTAAATATAATTTATTTATGTACGTGAATTTCAAAAACATTAAATTAAATTTATTAAATTAAGGATCAAAGATTTTCTTTAATTCTGGCTTCTTCCCAAAGGGTCTTGCCAGAGCAGGCACAAACTTTCTTCATATTTTCAAAAGCGCCAGCAGATCTTGCAATAATTCCGGCAATTAACCCATGACCGGAATTCCCATCAATTTTACTTTGATCGTTATTCCCTTTTCCTTCATCATCCTTTCCACATGAAATAACCATAGATCTTCCAATAACATCCCACACTTTGATCCTGTTACTTTCTACTACCAAATCACCCCATTCATTTTCATCAACATAAATATTTCCAAGATCTCCAATATGACCTGTTTCAATGTTTCCATGTTCAACATTATCAGGATTGTAATGATCTCCGGTACTTGCTGGTCCTCTTGAAATATCACCTAATTCATGTATGTGAACTCCGTGATATCCCGGAGATATCCCCTGCACTGTGATATCGATCAGACAATTCTCATCATCTATTTGAACTAATCGAGCAAGTCCTTGCGGCTTTCTTGGGGTTTGTTCGCTTTGGTCTGGCGTGTATGTGTAATCTTCAAAGATACATACTGCTGCACCAGCATGCTGACCTGAATATAATTAGATATTTCAAAATGATTAGATCTAAAATTTTGACAAGATAGTGTGATAAATGAGAAAAAAAAAAAAAATTTGTTTGAACCTTGAACCGTGCCTTGCCCACGTACAATTACTGTCTTACCCGTTTCTTTCAATTTCTTTGAAACAGCAGAGGGAGGCGCTAGATAAAAATTGTATCACTTTAGGTTCGTTGTGTGACAAATAGAAACAAAATATTGTAGATCCATGTTACCTGTTCCTTCAACAATGACTTTCTGATCTTTGAGATCAATGTCAAAATGGTTAATTTCTACAAATTGAAAATTGAATGTATGTAAATAAAGATATTTAAGGATTGCTTCTTTTGGATAATCTAGAATTTAATCACCTGGAATTTGATCTAAAACACGTTTTACAGATTGAACACATGAATCACAAGTCATCTCCACAGCATATTCGGTCTAAATATTAACTGATTTTACAGAATGTTACTCGAAAGATGAAACAGATGAGAAAAAATTAACAAACCCTGAAAATTGATTTCGTCAATGCCTTTGCGGTATTCATTTTTTTTTTTTTTGTTCAAAAAAAAAAGACAATCGTGTTGCCATATTTATAATCATATCGTGAGAAATATATGTAAGATTATCACATGAGATCGATTGGCGGTAAGCACATAAAAGATTGGTCAAGATAGCGAGATTTTTTGTTTCTGCTCCAATTCTAACTAAATTAGCTTTAATTTATAATTCTGGTTGGCAAAATTATTTAATTTTGGCCAAAATTATAAACGTATAACACGTGTATAATTTGGTAAATTATATAATTTGGTCGCTCCAAGTTGATTGATAAGAAATTAAAATATTCAATTTTTTACTCGCATACATATTTTGATTCCATTTATTCAAAAAAAAAAAAAAAAAAAAAAAAAAAAAAAAAGATAAACCCCACAAATGTCAAGAGGTTATGACAATTATAACAGGCATATTTGCCTCATCCCAATCCCAGACTTGTCTCGTTTAAAACGAGACGTTGGGATTTATATTTCAGGAGGAATGGTAGAGAGAAATTTAAAAAATGTTGTCAATATTTTCGAAATCTTTTTTCATAATTTTGACATTTAAATTTCATATGAATAGTTTGCATTAGGGTGGTGGTTTTTCATTGATTCTGTAGTGTACTCTAATTACCTGAGACGAAATGGTGATGATGATACGGTTCCTTTTGTAAGTTTCGAAGATTGGTTGTGCGGAATTTTTAGCACGTTAGGAATGATAATGTAAGTTCAATAGTCGAGGATAATGAAAGTGAACTAAAAAAAGCTACCGCAACTTTGAAGATCATTTATCCTTTCCCCTATTGCAATTCACGCTCCTTTGGAGTTCCATCCATGCACATTAATGTATTTCGTATGCGAGATATTCTACAATAATTACTTGATTTAGCGCAACATTAATTGTATCATGTGAAAATACTTAAATACTTGTTTTTCGACCGAAAAATTTTAGCGTTAATTTAATTGACAAATCTCGCCTAACGAACGAGTACATGGGATCAGGATCTGCAACGAGAGGAGCTCGTCTTTGCTTATTTGTAGGATTTGCCGCAATGGCCGGTGGGCTCGCCGGATCTTGTGTATGTATTTCTATCATCGCAATTTACCAAGATTTTCAGATTTTCCTATTATAAATACAATTAATGATATAAAGCAAAACTGTTCTTTGATTATTTGATTTGCTTCACATATTTAAAAGTCACTAACTTGAATAAATTTAAAATTTTTTAGACTGTGTTAATTCTTAAATATATTGTAGCTAATATTGAAATGCCCTATCTATATTTTGGAATTGCCTTGGTCATCCAAAATTTATTCATCATGATCAGGTAAAAACAATAAAGTTATTTTTTTTATTTTTTAAAAAAAAATTATTATTAAGTTTTAATTTCCCATCATCATTCAGTTCTTTTATGCTTTGGATTGCACAAAGTACTGAGGAAGAATACAATCATAATTTTCTTTAATAGAAAAAAATAAAGTTGGGTTTGGGTTTGGGCTTGGTTTATATATATATGTGTGTATTTTGTGTTTCATTGTTTTCATTTTTTTTTTTTTTTTTTTTTTTTTTTGTAATAGTCTTTCTTTGTACTTTTAATTATCTCTTTTTTTTTCAACTATAAATTCATAGTTGAATAGAATTTATTTAAGGAAATGATTGTAAACAACAAAATAAATAAATAATTGTTACGAATATATTATTTTTATTATAATTATTTTTGGTTCGTGTTAATAATAAAATGAAATGGAATTCGATTTTATTCTAATGATCTAAAAAAAAAGAATTTCCATACGATTTATCTCAACACAAAGTCTATATTTTATAATTAGTCGATTTCGATTTCCTCATCATATGCCGTATCATCATCTTCCTCTAAAATATCTTGTCCATTTCTTTTCCTCTTTTTGCTATCACCTGACAACTCCTGAATCATTTTCAAGACAACTCCATTATCATCATAAACCAAAGTTCCAGCTTTCCACATACCCGTTTTTAATCCAATATTTTTATTTTTTTCATATTCAACTTTAATCGCATTTTCATCTCCTTTCCATTCTTTGTAAAGTTGTAAATTTTGTCTTCCAATTAACCGCATCGTTTTTACACGAAGGTCTTGCGCTGACTTTATGTAAGAGAAAAAAATATATACATAAATTATTAAGGAGGTGGAGAAAAAATATATATATATATATATATTTTTTTTCCAAAAATTTTTTTTTTAAATTGAATCATCATACCCAATCCGGCAAAAGTTCATCGGAAATTTCCTTGTAATGTCCGATACCGTATTTTTCTACGCCCTTAATAAGCAGAACGCGTTCTTTGTCTGTCCATTTTCGTTGTATTTGAGGTATTGATCCTTTTGGAGGTCGAAAATAACTTTTTATGCAATAAATCATGATAATTTAATCAAAAAAGATGACATGTTATATGTAATTAACGCGTAAAATTTTATAATGATAACATACTCTTGATTTAAAGAACCATCCAAATGCAAAATGTTTTGTGTGATCCCGAATTCCGGTCTTACACTAAATTTTAGACGCATCCTTTTAATCCAAGCTTGTTTGATTTTAAGTTTCTCAATAGCGGGATTTTCTTCTATTTCCTGTTGCTGTGAATCATCAGAAGTTTCTAACAAATCTACTTGCATCTCATCCGTCACACCCGTCAGGTGAATTGCCGGTAATTCCGATGGTTCTTTATCCAGATTTTCTTTGGGGGAATCCAAGGTTACTGGAAGTTCCAAAGTAAATTCCGGTAATATCTGATCTTTAGGAGTGGAATCGTCATCATTCGTAATCGGAGACGATTTTGGTGAAGGAGGTGAACGCGTCAATTCTTGTTCACCTGGCCTAATTTTAGAATTTCTTTTAAGTCTTAATCTTGGAGTTATGGGTTTCATTTTCGGCGTAGATGATTTGTTCGTAGGAGATGAATTGGAATGACGTGATTGTGACTTTGTTGGGGGGGTTACTATTTCCGAAGGAGGAGTTACGTTAGTGGTTGGAAGTTCTATCTTCTTTGGGGGAGGAATATGAACGGCAAAGGGGGTTAATGGGGGCAAAATAATGGGCGGTAAAATGTTTGATGATGGTAAATGTGGTGGAGGTGGTGATGAAGCTAAAACGTTTGGAGGCTGTGGCTTGGTTGCTTCTAATAATGGTAAAGGAGAAGGTAAATTTATTAGAAGGGTAGGAATTGGTGAATGTTCTATTATGGGTTCTTGAACTATCGGATCTTTTGGAGTAAGTTGTCGTTGCCCTTGCTCTTGAAAACCTTGTTCAATAGTTTCTTCTTCTGAACTTTCGTTAGCTGTTGTAGCAAAAAAATCATCCCAATGATAATTAGTAAGATTTGAAGTAGAGGTATCCGTTTTGTTTTCCTCGGGATGATCAATAATAAAATTAATCGCGAAACTCATTTTTTTTTTTGATTTTGATTATGGATGATTTTTATTTCTTTTTATTTATATTATTATTATTTATTTATTTATTATGATTATTATTTTTTTTTCGTTTACTCGAAAAATATTTTTTTTTTTTCCTTCCTCGACAGAAAAGATACGTGTTCTTTTTTATGGAATCAAATATCGTGTAGATTATATGTTGTCGTACAATAAAAATTGTACGCATACAATTTAAATTTTCCAAAAAGGAAAACTACCTTCAATGTTTATAATGCTTACAATGCTTTTCTTTTAAATAATATTTATTTTCCTCTCTTTACATTTATAACCTTTTGTAACAATAACTTGTAGTTTAAAAATGTGTTTTTGAGTGATTAAAGACATATTTAAAATTATGGTATTACCTAATATAACTTGTAGGGCATTTTAGCCGAATAAGCCTCGTCTAAAAATCTTGAATTACGGTATATTTTTCTATTCTAAAACCGCTCAAATTTCTTAATTTGTAATATAATATCATTAAAAAGCTATATGGTATCACAAACGCACAAACACAATCGCTTCTTCCCAAATAAGGAGTTGATAAAACCCCCCCATAAAAATTTGGTTTATCCCTTATGTATTTTTTTTTTTTTTGTCGTTGAATCTTTGACACTCTTCGATAAAAGATCCTCCTCCTCGCATAATCTCAAAACCGATTTGTTGTTCTTGTTATTTGATGTATGTATGCTAATGTATGTGTGAATTAATAAACTTTTTTTAAGTATATCATAAGGGTTTGGAAAGATTTTCGGATTTCTAGTTTGTAAATGTAAAAGTACTTATTTCGTTATTCTTTCTACCGCAAGGAAAAAAAAAAAAAAATTTATTATTATTCCAAAATATATTTAAAATCAATCATTAATAACTTTTTTTTTTATTGAATCTTTTTATTTTATATATCACCCATCATCATCATCATATCATCATCATCATTATTTTACATCATAAAAAAAAAAAAAATCTTTTTCGAAATACAAAAATTTATCAAATTGAATTAAATAAATAGGTAAGTAAATTTAAATCTTTACCTAAACGAAAGAAAATAAAAAAGGAATGTATAATTCAGACTAGCGTACATTTCTAACTTTCGGTTCTTTTGATTTTTAGTGAACCGAAAATAAGAAGAGTGTCCTTGTTTGAGAGTTACCTCTCCCTCCTTTTTTTCAAAATTGAACGATTAATAACTCCCAACAAAAATGCATATAATGACGAAATGTCATCAAAATTAAATTTCAAAATAATACACCTCATCCTTTTAATCCTATTATTAACTTTTTATCCATCGGTGAGCAATTCTCAAGGAGTCAAAGCGCCACCATGTCTCTCACTTGCCAACACAGTAACTTGTAGCGCTTTCTCACAATATTCTATTTCGTCGGCTTCTTCATTAAAATCCCCGTCCTCTCAAGATTCAAAGGGGGCTATTTTCGACACAAATTTTAACTGGTTACTAGAGGCAGAGAATATAACTAGATTTGATGAATTACTTTTAAATTATGTAAATACTCAATATATTAAGTGGAGATATAAAGAAGGTACAAATTCTACTTTGGGAGTTACACAGTGTTCTGAAGTAACACCGATTATATCGAGTATTACTACCTATGCAAGGTACACTCTGACAACTATTTGTGCGTACCTTGTTCAACAACCACAAAGTAGATTGTGTAGCGCAAATGATACTTTGCCAAATGAAAGGAAATTATGTAAGCGAACTTGTCTGGATCATTATGATTCTTTACAAGGCATTGCAAACAGTCCTAATGTTTGTATTAAAGGAACAACTAGCGACATTAATGAGAGACTTGATGATTTGAATAAATGGTGTAAACTCCCTCAAAATACTGATGACAACGCTACTACAAATTGTATTTCCGGAGAAGAAAATGAACCTAATAATTGTGGTATGTATTTGAAATTGTTTAAGAGGAAATTTGGAATGGATGTTAATTTTTTTTTTTAAACCCTCTTTTATTTTTAGGATTCAAAGATGATACTAGAGGATTGTGCTCGTATTGCAAAGATAATGATACGAATTTATGTTGTGGTACGGCTAGCAATATACTACAATGTCCTTATAAGATACCTTCAGTAAGCGATTCTTCACCGACAATTCCAATATCACCAATTTCACCAAATTCATCCGATAGTAACGCACCGGGCATGGCGACCTCATTGAACGGTAAACCGAGTAGATTAGCACTGATATTGGGTACATTAGCGGGAGGTTGTCTCATATTGGGATTAATCGTATATTGTTGCGTAAAAAAACGACTAGGGAAATCAGATAGAAGGGTTAGTTTCTTTGCAACACCATATTTCTATTTTAGACCTCCAAACGTCGTTGGGGATGGAAATGATGGGGCGGAAATGATTGGAAGATATTCACATAGTATTGCAACTCCTAATACTCCGTCAAATGCAGGAACTGGAAGTTTATTATCCAACATCAGTGCTGAAGGTGTCGCTTTAGCTACGAGCGGGGCTGCCATAGGAGCAAATAACAATTCTCCTTACAAAGGTATATATAATATTAATGCAGGAAGCGGAAGCTTAAAGCTGGGAGGAAGTAATTTAAGTAATTTAAATGTAAATAATAGTAGTAATCCGAACGTAACTTTAAAAATGTCCACACCATCATCTCCTATAATTGGAACAACAAACTCATCATCAACGTCAGTTCAACTTGCACCCCTTCCGCCTCATTCGGATTCAATCGATTTGGGAAGTGGAGGAGAAAGTGGAGGAGAAGAAGCGAATATAGTGGTGGTGGTATTTCCTTATTCGGCACAATTACCTGATGAGTTGGAATTATCTTTAAATGATGTAATAGAAGTTAAACAAAAATTCGATGATGGATGGGCTGTTGGGATAAATAGGAATACCGGTAAAGAGGGTGCTTTTCCTAACGTCTGTGTTGCAGAATTTGAGAATTTAACTGAAAATGCTGGAGAGAGTGGAAGTGGAAGTTGGAGTATAAGTATAGTGTTGCCAGATGATTCAACTTCAGATAA